CTCTCTCTCTCTCTCTCTCTCTCTCTCTCTCTCTCTCTCTGTCTGTCTCTACTACCCTCCTGGCTCTCCTCCCCTCTCTCCTCCCCATGCTCTGAATAAACTCTATTCTATACTATACCCTTGTGTGACTGGTCCCTCAGGGGGAAGAGATGCCTCTGCATGGGCCGGCTGAGCTATTCCCTTCCCCCATACCTCTCCACACACCCACAGAACATATTATCTTTATCTCTTTATCTTTTTACAGACACATCTATCTATATATAATATATACATATCATATATATGTTATATATATACTGTTGCTAAATAGAACAGCACATCTATCTATCTATCTATCTATCTATCTATCTATCTATCTATCTATCTATATGCTGTTGCTAAATAGAACAAAGGGACCTCAGGGCAAGACCCTACCCAGCTTAGCTTCTGACTTGTGAGAAGGAATTAAAGGAAAGTCTAGGGTCAGGTGTGTTGGCACATACCCTTAATTCCAGCATCTGGGAGGCAGAGGCAGGAAGATCTCAGGTGGTCACCCTGGTCTACAGAGCTAGTTGCAGGACAGTCAAGCTTAAGCAGTAAAGGAAAACATTGAAAACAGAAAGCTGGTGTTTCATTTGAATGAAGGGGGCATGTTCCAGCTCTAGCAAGCAGAAGAACTTGGCAGTTTCAGCCACATGGTTCTGGCTTTATAAAGACGCAAGAAAGGGGTTGTGGAATCTCCCTCTATGACTAAGGAAAGCTGCCAAGGCCAGCCATATGTCAGGGATTTTCCTGTGTGGAGGCCCAGAGTGGCCTTTGCATGAAGCTGTGAAGGTGAAGACTGGATTGCCTTGGAGACCCCAAATTGTTGGAGAAGCCAGAGTGTTGCCAAGGTCATGGTGTCTCTTCAAAGCAATACGATCCCGACTAAGACACCTTCTCACTGTCTCAGCATCCAGAAACAAACATTTGATGAACCTCATCTGAGTATTTGGTCCTCTACAACAGAGGGCTCTACATACTAATCGTAGATTGAAATGTTAAGCATTTTTTCCTATATTGAATATCAAGTTTTCCTTATTATTATCACCCCCAAACAATACTGTCCAATTGCCATTTGTGTGGGGATTATATTGTACTAAGCATTATGAATACTCTAGTGGTTCCCTACAGCATACATGAGCATGCACGTGGACTATGCAAATGTTACACCATTTCACAGAAAGGAGTGGTGTGGGTTCTGGGATTCTTTAAGGGCCTAAGGACCAGTGTCCTGGGGATACCAAGCGATGAGAGAATCAATTAGGTAGATTGTGAGATGTATCCACAGAACAAAAGGTACAAACATGAGACCATAATGTACACTATTTATAAAAGTTCCATTTAAATTTTATCTGTACGTACCTTGGGAGAAAAATGAACAAATGACTGAATTTCAGATGTAGAAAATACTAATTCTAAAAAAAAAAAATCCAGCAGGAAAAAAAAACCCTCAACTCTTTAGCATATTTCATTTTATATAATTACATAGGGACTCTTCCGAGAAGATGAGGAAAAATAGTAAATTCACGTTTTCTCTTGTTTCCCCTGCCTTAATCTGCCATGTTCTGACAACTGTGGCCATTAATATTAGAATGTTGGTGTGTTCACTACTCACATTCTGTTTGCTGCTATGGTGTGCATGCATGTTGAGCCTCAGTTCTCTGAATTCAGGGTTCACAAGCAGGCCTCTTAGCTTGGCCTCATTCCTGCACCCTTTATTTGATTCATTATTTAGTTGGTTGGATTTCAAAGGCTCTTGGCTCATGTATTTCAGCATTCTTTCAGCTTGAGGCTGTTGCTGCTTGGCAGTGAATGCAGCTCTTGGGTCATTCATTCTCTCTGAGCCCCACAGACACTGCTGCACTGTCTGAGGCCCTCAGCCTTGCCCTGGGAAAGGCTCGTACTAACCCAGTTTCCTTTCCTATAAGCAGCTGGTTTCCTTTTCTTGGATTCTCTCTCTTCTTAAATTCTTTTCTTTTTCAACTATTTTAGTGTTGGAATATTCTAGTTGTATAGAAAAGTAAGAGAATAAAAAGTATTCAAATATGTTTTGTGGAATTTGAACATTTTTCTGTGTTTGCTTCAAATCACTTGAAGTAAATAACTAAGGCTCACAGATCCAGCTAAAAGATTTTGTGGGTACACCCATGAACATGTGCCTCACATCTGTGGCCATTGTCCTGAATCAGGATATGTGTATGATTCCATTATTGAGAAAATTATTTGTAGTGCTGGGGTTAGAACCCAGAACCTAAACACAGAAGGCAAGTGTTCTGTCTTTGGAGAATGACTGGGGCACACACACATATCCCTAACGACATATCATTTTACATTGCACGTTTTTGTGCTTTACATGAACGGTATTATTAAACCAGTGTGATGCTTCGTGCTTGGAACTCCAACACTTGAGAGATGGAGATGGGAGATCAGAAGTCCAAGGTCACCTTAGCTGCATAGTGAGTTCAAGGATAGCCTGGGGGGTGAGACTCAGCCTCAAATTTTATTCCATCTCAATGAACTCCTGAAGCAGGAAAGCAACGGCTGACAGGAGCTAGTTCACTGATCGCTTTAGAATTGATTGTTCCACTACTATTTTATACCAATATCATTGAATTATGAGAGCCCATTTTCTACTTCTTTAACTTGAGCTTAATTAGACAAATGCATTTGCAAGTCTGTCTTATCACCTCACAGAGTGTAACATCACCCCACTTCTGGTCACACTCCCAGATCTGGTGGCCCTCATAGAGGTATAGGCCAATAAACTGCTGCTGCTGGTTTGGGATGGCTCTTATTCAAGGAACCTGCTGGCAGGAGGCGCCCTGCTGAAAGTATTCCTTAGCTTCCACATGCACTGTGTGGCTCAGTGCCCACAAGAACTCAGTAAGTGCCAAGATGATGCATAAGACCATGCTGGATACTTTCTGGGGGTCCTAAGCTCAGTACAGTTTCATCTGTCCTCGCAGCCTCTGGAGAGGCTGCGGGGAACCCGCTTACCATCAGTCTCAGGCGTTGCCATCCTTGGCCTCTCTAATCCATCACTATGCAGCCTGGGTTTGAGTGGACAAGCTGATACACAATGAGTCTGCCTTAGAGTTCCTATGTAGGACATTTGTTACTTTTAGAAGTGTTTAGGGGTTGAACTCAGGACTTCTGGAAGAACAGCCAGTGCTCTTGACCGCTGAGCCATCTCTTAAACTCACCCCTCTCGTTGTATTCTTTATGCCAACTAGTGTAATCTTAATCCCCAATATGTTCACTCTATTTAAAAAAATATTTTACATTTATCTGTGTGTATGTTTGCACACTAGTGTAATAGAGTCCAAAATCTTGTTAATCCCCCAGACATTAGCACACCTGACTCCATGGCGGAAGAATCATTTAGGCTGTGAAACTCAGCACCATCTGCCAAAACCAAAACAAAGGCCTAACCCATCAAACGCCACAGTTCTGGGAAAGTCTCTGAATCTACTAACCTTGCTTTTTAGTTCCTGTACTTCTGCTGCTGGCTAACTGTTCTTTTTAACTTTTAACCCAGGACATGGTTTTTGTGCTTAAAAAAATCTTACCCTGAGTACACTGTGGGACACACAGAGAAATACTACAGCTTCCACAATGAGATTTTTTTATGTTTTTTTGTTTTGTTTTGTTTTGTTTCGAGACAGGGTTTCTCTGTGTAGCCCTGGTTGTCCTGGAACTCAATCTGTAGACCAGGCTAGCCTCGAACTCTCAAACTCAGAAATCCGCCTGCCTCTGCCTCTGCCTCCCAAGTGCTGTGATTAAAGGCATGCGCAACCACTGCCCAGCATGTTTTTTTTTTGTTTTTATTTTGGGGAGCAGATTGCAAGGGCAGAGGGTGGATATAAAGGGACAGGGAGATGACTGGGATTAGGGTGCATGATGACTCATAAAAACAAACAATAAAAGCCGGGCAGTGGTGGCGCTTGCCTTTAATCCCAGCACTTGGGAGGCAAAGGCAGGCGGATTTCTGAGTTCCAGGAAAACTAAACACCATAGCGCTGAAATAGCTCGGTTGGGAGAGCGTTAGACTGAATATCTAAAGGTCCCTGGTTTGAGGCCAGGTTTCAGCAGCTGATTTTTTGACCGGTGGTGGTGCTCGCCTTTAATCCCAGCATTTGGGAGATAGAGGCAGGTGGATTTTGAGTTCGAGGCCAGCCTGGTCTAAAGAGTGAGTTCCAGGACAGCCAGAGCTACACAGAGAAACCCAGTCTCAAAAAACCAAAACAAATACCCCCCCACCACCAAAAAAAAAACAATAAAAAGATAAGAAGCTTACCCTAAGAAACACTCAAGGCTACACGGGGATTCCAGAATACCTAGTGTAGTCGTTGGCTACACTAATAAAGGCTTTCTATTGGTTTAAACTCACATTTAAGCAGTCTTCTGTGGTGGACATCCCACAACACTAGAATGCCTATATGTGTTCAAGCACACATGAGCGTGTTGCAATTGCACATGGGGTCAGAGGGCCAATTGCAGAGGTCGGCTCTCTCTTTATCCAGGGCTGAACTCAGGCCCTCAGTCTCAGTAGCCTTTCCACACTCAGCCCCCTCCCGAGTCCTCACTTCACTTTCTTTACTGACTTCCCTCTTTATTTCTGTCACCAATCTCTCCTTTAACTTTTGAAGATATTCAATATCATATTTGAATTTTCTGGTCCATCTGTGTCTATAATCCTGCCCCACATGGTTTATAATAAATAGTCTTTGAGCATACTTCAATACCATTGCTGCACAAAATAACAGGATCTGCTCTTTTGACTGGTGAGCATATGTGTCAGGACCAGGCACTGACACATATTTCATTTCAGTCCAAGACATTTCAGTTTCTGCATCTGCTGATGAATGACCAAAGGCACCAAGAATCAGTTTCCTGTTTGTTTGCTGTCCCTTTGTTGGGTGACATCTTTTTTTTTTTTTTTTTTTTTTTTTGGTTTTTCGAGACAGGGTTTCTCTGTGTAGTCCTGGCTGTCCTGGAACTCACTCTGTAGACCAGGCTGGCCTCGAACTCAGAAATCTGCCTGCCTCTGCCTCCCAAGTGCTGGGATTAAAGGCATGCGCCACCACTGCCCGGCTGGTTGGGTGACATCCTAATGACTAGAAACATTTAAAAGATGATGCCTTCACTTCCAGAATGAAAACAAAAAGGACAGGACACAATGTAACTTTAATTTCTTCAAACTTTATTTTTAATGGTTTAACCTCCCTTCTAGCTCACCACCCACTAGAGGTAGTGAGAAAGAAAAGATATGGGGGAAGTGGACCTGTTTAGAAAGGTTTTGAGGAGCAACTCCTGTCTGTGTTGTCTGGAAATTGGCAGTTCTGTTCAGGCTGGCAAGGGCAGCTCCATCCACTTGCAAACACTTCATGGTTACACCAGAAGTCTAGTTTGGTAGAGTCCAGTTAGTAACAGTGGTGACACGATCTAGCAGAGACAGCCAGGCCTAAGCCTCGGCTCAAGTAAGCAGGAGGGACCAACAGGAACACCAGAAGTTCTCGGCTGTGCCTCTCTCAGGGAAGCAAAGATCAGTGAAGACGCTAGACCCACACGCCTTGTACAGCTAGCTGTATCAATCAGCAAGCCAAGCTCTGTCTCTGTCACTCTGTGGCATCCTATTTATACTCTCCAAACATCATGTGTCCTCCACATGCCTTGTCTCAGCACAGGTCTTGTCTCAGCACGTGCATCCAAATCAGCCTGAGTTTGAGGAAGTGGCAAGAAACTGCAGTACACCACCAGAAGTTTTACGGTGTGTTTCTTTCTACAAATGCAGCTCAACTACGAAATCTAAGGTAGATCAATACATATGTGTAGTCAGCAAAGAATCCTTCATCACGTGTCCTTTCCCATGCTTGCTTTAACAGAACATCCTCTCTCCTGTGTCTGCTTCAGTGAAACATTCCTTCATGAGTCTGCCTTAGCCTTTCACCTGTGTCCACTTCAGGAAAACATTCCTTTATGTGTTTGCCCCAGCAAACACCATCCAACACAAAGAAGCCTTAAGTTTCCACGTCAACACCAGTGTTCTCATGATAAGAAGCTGGTGACAGCACAGCGGGAGGGTGACCCTGAGGCATGTGTCCTCTCTCAAGCTGCTTCTGAACTGAAAGCTGAACAGGTAACTCCAGGATGTTACCCAAGTGCTCAGATTACAGTCCTGTGCCGCCTTGCTGGTTAGCTTCAATGCTTGTCTTCTTTATATGTATAGGTGCTTTGTCTGCTTGAATGTCTGTGCACCATGAGGATGCCTTGTGCCTCTGGAGAGCAGAAGGAGGGGCATCAGATCCCCTGGAATTGAAATTACAGACAGTCCTCAGCTGCTCTGTGGGTGCTGGGAACCCAGCCAAGGGTTCTCTGAAAGAGCAGGAAGTGCTTTTAACCACTGATCAATTTCTCCACCCTCCCCCGCCCTGGGTTTTATCTTCCTTGAGTAGTTTTATATGACTGGTTGATTTCTCTAGTGGTTAAGAGTCTTTTATCCCAACCAGTGAGATGTGTTTTCTCTGTAGAGACATTGCTTTTAGATAATTAAAAAAACCCTCAGTCTCAGCTTTAGAGAAAAACTGGTTAGTCTGGTTTAAAATGCCCAAGGCCGTTACCAGTTTGGCACCACTTAATACATTAACTTTAGTATTTAGAAATTTTTATTGTTAGGGTCTCATGTTGCTGGGGACTGGCCTCAAACTTTCTACGTAGCTGAGACTGGATTTGAACTCTTGATCCTCCTGCCTTCACCTCCTAACTACTGGGCACTGAGATTACATGTGCACATAACCATACTAGGCTCAAAATTCTTGTATTCTCTCTGTGCCACTGTCTTTGTCTTTCTTTCTCTCTCCATTTTTCTCTGTCTCTCTGACTTTGTGTCTTTCTCTTTGTCTCTTTCTGTTTCTCTAGGTTAAACCTAGGCATGCCAGGCGAGTACCCTATCCCTGAGTCCCATCACTGGCCACTTTCTACACTGGGTTCTCGGCCCATCTGAACCACACCAGCCCGGCAAGCAAAACTCAAGTACTTTTTTTTTTTTTTTTTTTTTTTCGAGACAGGGTTTCTCTGTGTAGTCCTGGCTGTCCTGGAACTCACTCTGTAGACCAGGCTGGCCTCGAACTCAGAAATCTGCCTGCCTCTGCCTCCCAAGTGCTGGGATTAAAGGCGTGTGCCACCACCGCCCGGCTAAAATTCAAGTACTTTAAGAGGTGGGTCCACGCTTAACTTTCTCTAGAACAGCTATTTTTCTCCCAGTTAGAATGTAAGCAAGTGTACAGGCTTGCTTGCTGTTGATTTCTTTTAGCTCAGTGTCTCACATAGGGACAAGGATTCCTGTATCATGTAAGGGGCTTTCCATTTCACAGCTGCTTGCAAACATTGACTGAAGCCCTCTGTTCCCCAGAGCTAGAGCCACGCATCCCCAAGTACAGCTGTAGGGTTTGGGGATTCTTGTAGCATGTAGGGGGGAGGGCTTTCCATTTCACAGCTGCTTGCAAACATAACTGAAGCCCTCTGTACTGCAAAGCTAGAAACACACTTCCCCAAGGACAGCTGTAGGGTTTGAGGATTCTTGTATCATATAAGGGGCTTTTCATTACCCAGTTGCTTGTAACACAACTGCACTCTTCTGTCCTCCAAAGCTAAAACCACCCCTTCCCAAGAACAGCTGTGGCGTTCATTTTTCATATTGTTGTGCCTTATAGCTCCCCCTTTGATGTGGACTTTGGATAATTTACTTTCATCTGAGTTTAGCTACAGACTAAGGAAGATATTACTGTTATGCTCTAACCACATGGAAATGGCAATCTATCCTCTCTCTTTTATTGCAGGGGAGGGTGCTCATGCTGTCCCCTACAACACGATTCTGCAGCTGACTTTCCTTACCTTGGGGGAAGTTGCAGGGGTCAGTACAGGATGAGCCTCATTTTGGAAAACCACCTTCCTGATAATGATTTCTCCCCTGCCAGGTAAGCTCCTATTTTTCCTTTTCTTTACTGTAAAGACTCTATTTTTCTCCATGGATATAAATGTGTTGGCATGTGCGTGGGAGTGGGAGGAATGGCCCTTGGAGGCCAGAAGAGGGCATTGGTTCCCCCTGGATCGGGAGTTACAGGTGTTGCAATGAGCCTGCTGTAGGTGCTGGGAACTGAATTCAGGTCCTCTATAAGAACAGAGCCTGCTTGTAACTATACAGTTACCTCTCTAAATCCTAGCTTTTTTCTTGTCATAAGAGTTTGGATTTGTGTGTGTGTGTAATATGGTGTATTCATTAAATATGGATAGTGAAGTATTTATTTTAGATTATTACTCTTATCATTTGTTCTCAGGAATATCAATTATATATCATTTGATTTCCTTTTTTTTTTTTTTTTTTTTTTTTAGACAGGTCTAGGGAGCTGTGTAGCCCAGGCTGACCTGAAACTATCACTCCTCCTGCTTCAGGCTTCTGAGAGCTCAGAAGTGTGAGCTACCATCTGGGCTAGAGATTGTTAGTTTCTTCCTTTCCTTCCTCCTACCTCCCTTGATCCTTCCTTCCCCTCCTCCTTTTCTTCCTTCTCTCTCTGTTTCCTTTCCTTCTTTTCTTTGTGAGAGCATTTTCTCTGTATTCTAGTTTGGCCTCAAACTCTTTTCGGTATGTAGCCCAGGCTGGCCTGAAATTCTCCATTTTTTTTTTTTTTTTGCCTTTGTCATCTGAGTGCAGGAATTATGGGTGTGCACCAGTCTACTTGAATATTTATTTCTTTTTTGTGGTGATGGGTGTCAAACCCAGGGCCTTGTGTATCTAAGCACATTATCACTGAGCAGTACCAACTCTGTATTTTCCCATTTAACTTTTCTGATATTCTATTCTGACTGTTGCATCCTTGAAGGTCTTTTTCCTTTGGTCTCATGCTGCTCACGCCAACCTTGAACTTGCCATGTAGCCAAGAGCGGCCTTGCACACCTGATCCTCCCGCCTCTGCCTCCCAAATGCTGGGATTATAGGTATGGCCTCCACACCCAGCTCTGCCATGTTTCCCTGAGTTCCTGGAGTAACTTTAAAGGTCTAAATCAGATGATGTCACTCCATTATATAAAATCC